TCTTTTTCTCATGGAGGATTTTACATTTCCTTTTTTAAAAAGTTTTATCTTATTTGTAATTGACATGTAATGTACATATTTATGGGTACAGTGTGATGTTTCAATACATGTATACAATGGGTAATGATCAAATTAGGGTAATTAGAGCTGGGTGTGGTGGCTCGCGCCTGTAATCTCAGCACTTTGGGAGGCTGAGGCAGGTCGATCACCTGAGGTTAGGATTTTAAGACCAGCCTGGCCAACATGGTGAAACCCTGTTTCTACTAAAAATACAAAAATAATTTCCAGGCATGGTGGCATGTGCCTGTAGTCCCACCTACTCAGGAAACTGAGGCATAAGAATCGCTTGAACCCAGGAAGTGGAGGTTGCAGTGAGCCGAGATCATACTGCTGCACTCCAGTCTAGGTGACAGAGTGAGACTCTGACTAAAAAAAAAAAAAAAAAAAAAAAAAAAAAGGAACCAAAGTGAGGGTAATTAGCATATCCATCATCTCAGACATTCATCATTTCTTTGTGGTGACAACATGTAAAATTCTCTCTTTAGCTATTATGAAATATACAATATACTATTGTTAACTATAATTACCATACTGTGCAATGAAACACTAGAACGTAATCCACTTATTTAACTATAATTTTCTACTTGTTGACCAACCCTCGCCATTCCCCCTCTCCCTCCTCTTCGCAGCCTTTGGTTAACCACTAATCTCTACATGTATGAGATCAACTTTTTATTAAGTGTATCTTTAGCATTTTATATTTTTTGCTGTTATAGTAAACAATATCCTCGTTTCCATTATATCATTTAACTGGTGGTTGTTTTGATAAATTCTACGGATTTCTGTATATTAATTTTATATTCTGCTACCTTAATAATGTACCTGAAATCTTATTTGTAGTTGTTTTTCCCATTAAATTTTTGGCACATGCAGGTATACATCATATGATATGATTTTTGTGTTATTAAGCAATAGAAAACAATTAGGACATTTTTCAATTCACATGCCCTAAATAGTTTCTCTTTCTTTTTTTTCTTTTTTCTTTTTTGAGACAGAGCCTTGCTCTTGTCACCCAGGCTGGAGTGCAATGGCATGATATCAGCTCACTGCAACCTCTGCCTCCCAGATTCAAGTGATTCTGCTGCCTCAGCCTCCCAAGTAGCTGGGATTACAGGCGGCCACCACCATGCCTGGCTAATTTTTGTATTTTTAGTAGAGACAGGGTTTTGCCATGTTGGTCAGGCTGGTCTCGAACTCCTGACTTCATGATCCCCCGCGCCTTGGCCTCCCAAAGTGCTGGGATTACAGGCGTGAGCCACTGTGCCCAGCCATATTTTCTCTTTCTTAATGGCATTACAACTAATACATACTATATAATCTGAAATAGTAGTTGTGATAGCAGTTTTCCTTTTCTCATACTTGCCTTTAAAAGGGGTACTTCTGGTATTTCCTTATTATATGCTCCTGGCTTTGGGGCTGCGATATATTAAGAAAGTTTCTATCTATTCCTATTTGATTATTTTGTTAGGAAGGAGTATAGAATTCCTGGGTTGAACTGAGATTATTTGATAAAATGGGCAGTCAGAGATGTACAGAAAAATTGATTTTTGTATATGTTGTAAGGAAGGGGCCCAGTTTCAGTCTTCTGCATGTGGCTAGCCAGTTATCCCAGCACCATTTATTGAATAGGGAGTCCTTTCCCCATTGCTTGTTTTTGTCCGCTTTGTCAAAGATCAGATTGTTGCAGGTGTGTGGCCATATTTATGAGCTCTCTATTCTGTTCCATTGGTCTATGTGTCTGTGTTTGTACCAGTACCATACTGTTTTGATTAACGTAGCCCTGTAGCATCATTTGAAGTCAGGTAGCATGATGTCTTTGGCTTTCTTCTTTTTGTTTAGGATTGTCTTGGGTATTCCGGCTCCTTTTTGGTTCCATATGAATTTTGAGATAGTTTTTGTCTAGTTCTGTGAGGAATGTCATCAGTACTTTGATATAAATAGCGTGGAATCATTTGAGCAGAATGGCCATTTTAATGATATTAATTCTTCTTATACATGAACATGGAATGTTTTTCCATTTGTTTGTGTCATATCTGATTTGTTTGAGCAGTGATTTGTAATTCTTATTATAGAAATCTGTCACCTCCCTGGTTAGCTGTATTCCTGAGTATTTTATTCTTTTTATGGCAATCGTGAGTGGGAATTGATTTGACTCTCATCTTGGCTGTTGGTGGTGTATAGGAATGTTAGTGATTTTTGTACATTGACTTTGTATCCTGAAACTTTGCTGACATTGTTTATCAGCTGCAGGAGCTTTTGGCCAAGACTGTGCGGTTTTCTTGATATCAAATCATATTGTCTGCAAACAGGCATAGTTTGACTTTCTGTCTTCCTATTTGGATACCCTTTAGTTCTTTCTCTTGCCAGATTGCGCTGGCCAAGACTTCCAATACTATGTTGAATAGGAGTGGTGAGAGAGCATCCTTGTCTTGTGCCAGTTTTTAAGGGGAATGTTTCCAGCTTTTTGCCCATTCAATATGATGTTGGCTGTGGTTCTGTCATAGATGGCTCCTATTATTTTGAGGTGTGCTCCTTCTATACCTAATTTATTGAAAGTTTTTAACATGAATGGATGTTGAATTCTATTGAAAGCCTTTTCTGCATCTATTGAGATAATCATTTGGTTTTTGTCTTTAGGTCTCTTTCTGTGATGAATTACATTTATTGATTTGCGTATGTTGAACCAAACTTGCATCTTGGGGAAGAAGCCTGCTTGCTCATGGTGGATTAACTTTTTGATGTGCTGCTGGATTCAGCTGGCAAATATTTTATTGATGATTTTTATATCAATGTTCATTAATGATATTGGCCTGAAATTTTCGTTTTTTGTTGTGTCTTTTTCAGATTTTGGTATCAATATGATGCTGGCCTCCCAATGAGTTGGGGAGGAGTCCTTCCTCCTCAATTTTTGGAAAAGTTTTAGTAGGAATGGTACGAGTTCTTTTTTGTACATCTGGTAGAATTTGGCAGTGAATCCATCTGGTACTGGCCTTTTTTCTGTTGTTGTTGTTGTTGGTAGGCTATTTATTACTGATTCAATTTTGAACTCGTTATTGATCTGTTCAGGGAATCAGTTTCTCCTTGGTTCAGTCTTTGGAGGGTGTATGTGTCCAGGAATATATCCATCTCTCCTAGGTTTTCTAATTTTTGTGTGTAGAGGTGTTTGTAGTAGTTTTTGGTGTTTATTTTTATTTCTGATGGGGTCAGTGGTAATGTCCCCTTTGTCATTTCTAATTGTGTTTATTTGGAGCTTCTCTTTTCTTCTTTACTAATCTTTTCAAAAATCCAACTTCTGTATTCATTTATCTTCTGAATTTTTTTTTTGGTCTGAATTAAAGACTTAAATATAAAACCAAAAAGTATGAAAACCTTGGAAGACAACCTAGGCAATACCATCCTGAACATAGGAATGGGCACAGATTTCATAAGAAAGATGCCAAAAGCAATTGTGACAAAAGCAAAAATTGACAAATGGGATCTAATTAAACTAGCTTCTGCACAGCAAGAGAAATTTTCAACAGAGTATATGGAAAACCTACAGAATGGGAGAACATTTTTGTAAACTATGCATCTGACAAAGGTCTAATATCCAACATCTATGAGAAACTTAAACAAATTACAAGAGAAAAACAACCCCACTAAAAACTGGGCAAAAAACATGAACAGACACTTCTCAGAAGAACACATGCATGTGATCAACAAGTATATGAAAAAAAGCTCAACATCAGTTATCATTAGGGAAATGCAAATCAAAACCACAATGAGATACCATCTAATACAAGTCAGAATGGCTATTATTAAAAAGTCAAAAAATAACAGATGCTGGAGAAGTTGCAAAGAAAAGGGAAAACTTATACACTGTTAGTGGTAGTGTAAATTAGTTCAACCATTGTTGAAAGCAGTATGGCAATTCCTCAAAGACCGAAAGACAGAACTACCATTTGATCCAGCAATCTCATTATTGGTATATACCCAAAAGAATATAAATCATTCTACTACAAGACACATTCATGTGAATATTCATTGTAGCACTGTTCACAATAGGAAAGACATGGAATCAACCTAAATGCCCATCTATGACAGATTGGATAAAGAAAATGCGGTCCATATACACCATAGAATACTATGCAGCCATAAAAAACAATGAGATCATGTCTTTTGCAGGAACATGGATGGAGCTGGAGGCCATTATTCTTAGCAAACTAATGTAGGAACAGAAAACCAAATACTTCATGTTCTCACTTTTAAGTGGGAACCAAATAAGGAGAACTCATGAACACAAAGAAAGGAACAACAAACATTGGGTCCTACTTGAGGGTGGAGGGTGAGAGAAGGGAGAGGAGCAGAAAAAATAACTATTGGGTACTAGGCTTAGTAGCTGGGTGACAAAATAATCTGTACGACAAACACCCATGACACAAGTTTACCTATGTAACAAACCTGCACATGTACCTCTGAGCCTAAAATAAAAGTTAAAAATAAATAAATAAATAAATAGAAACACCAAAAATTTTTTAAAAAAGAAAATCAAATGGCCCATTAAATCATGGGGTTGCAGCCTAGGGAACTGATTAACATTGGCTGAATACATGTTGTGTGCTAGGATTATTAGGCATGTTAATAAAATCATTGAAACAAAAAACAAAACAAAAAAGATGTACAGAAGAAAATTAGGTAAGTAGAAAGTATTCCTCTTGAACTTCTTATAAACAGTCATGAAGATGGAACTTCTTCAGGCACATGCCTTTGAATCTACCATTGAATTTGTTTTCCGCCTCACTATGATCAGAGGTGGCAATTCTGATTGGTTTAAGAAGGAGTCTGTTCGTGGGACAGGAGTGGGTGGGGTGGTGGGGTATATATATATATATATGTATATATGAATAAGATTAATAAATGTGATTCAATGTATAATTTTATTTTGTCCTAGGCCCTGCATTCTAAGATTTCATGCTGGTAGGGATGATACTGGCTTTTTTTTTTTTTTTTTTTTTTTTGCCAGTTCTACATACACAGCTATCAGATTATTATAAATTTAAGGTAAGAACACAGATTAAATAAATAGCAATTTAATGAGATAATTGGGGGAAAGTTTACTGGAGGCTGGGACCCTGTTCCATTGTGTTTGTCTATGGTACTTAACAAAAGGCACTATGGGCACTTTACCAAATATCAGTGTATAGAAAGGACTGAATCATGAGGCAAGTTTGAAAGCAATGCAACTGCAGGTGTGTCACATAGTGGTTTAGTGTATAGTGTTTCAGTACATAGATTTTTGGTGCCAGATTTGAGTTCAGTTCCTGGCTATACTACTTACTAATTGTGATCATGGTCAAATCCTATACATTTTCTATTCCTTAGCTTCATCATCCATAAAAACAGGGATGTTAATTTCTACCTCAAAGTTTACCATCAGGCTTAAATCAATTCATATATATAAGAAGTTATATTACCTATGACATAATAAGTACTTGATAAGAATCACTATTTTTATTGGATGGTAAGTTCTCCCTAGTTTTATGGCTGAATGTTCCTGTTTATGAGCACTTTTTAGGGTGATCAGCCTAGAAAATACAGATGACCTGATTTACATAAGCAAGAAATTAGGGTGTTTTTCTTATACTTAAGGTTTCCTATTACAGTATTTTTGGCTTTTATTATGTCAGAGCATATATCTTAGAAATTTGGGTTGAATAAGCAACATATTTAAGGCAATTCTATTTAAAGGAGTCTGAGATAGTCATGTTTATACATGACTTTTAATTTATACAAAATTAAAACTAAATCTTAAATGGAATTAGATTACAATATATTCAAAAATTACTTATTTAAAATGTTTAATATTATATTGAAATGCTGCCCCATTATACTATATATTTTAAGTGACACATTTTCTGAAAAATAATTCTCTCATGATTTTTTATTGTTTAATTTTTCTTAGCATGCTATTGTCTACATCTAGATGTATTGAACTAAAAGGTAGACACCAGTAAAAAGAAGTGGAGTCATATTTCTTACGTCTTAGTACTTCGCTACCTCTTTGTGGTTCATAAGAGGTGCAGAAACACAAGAGATCCATGCAACATTGTCTTTCAACACTTACACCTTACGATAATATATTTATTTTGATTAATTTTCAATAACTCACATGTTCAAATGAAGACAATATCAAAACTTGAAATAATATATTTATTTTGATTAATTTTTAGTAACTCACATGTTCAAATGAAGACAATATCAAAACATGAAATTTTAAGCTCAGCCTAACATTGATTACAAAGTCATCAATCTGAAACAATCAGAATTATTAAGTCACCATAGTGGCTTAGGCAATGATATGTCTAAAATGGGGTGTGGCTAATGATATAATGGCATATCTTCACTAATATTTGGTAGCAACTGGATTGCCACAAAAACATGTGAGGACCCCTTTTCTGTTATATTGCCATTGTTTTACACCGGAAAAATTACTCTGCTGTTTTCTCAGAGTCAATCCTGGAGTGACATGAGTAGCAGAATGCCAAGTCCATGAGTCACTTGATAACTACTGGACATGCACATGAGAATATGATGAGGATGGTGCCTTAGAATGGGGATTCTCAATCTGAGGTAGGAAGACGTGATGAGCCACAAAATTCTTATTACAAATTAAAAGGAAGATCAAGAATCGCTGATAGAATTGAGAAGATCTGAAGGGGCATATGGTGTAAGTTTAGCCCAACTAAAGTGGAAATGTTAACAGAAGTACCTGGCAGGCATCAAACAGAGGCAGCTTATCATGAATGTTGCTCAGCTTACTTTCTCAGAGAATCCAGAATTCACTACAATAGTTGTTACTAATGGCTGGTCAACCTGCTCCAGGTTGTCTTTTTGATGGCTTCCAGCCAATCAGCTTACTCAAAGAAAAGTAAAACAAAATACACTGCTCTCAGATAGTCTATGTGTGTTTTTTCCTACCTCGTCTCTTTCTTTTATAAATTCTGTTTTTGTTATATTTGTTGACAACTGTTTAGTGACTGACTCTCTTTTCTGTGAGTAACCTTTTCTGTGAATACTCACTAAAGGTTTCTTGAGTTATTTGTCAACAGTCCAAATCCATGATAACTTACACTTTTGTAATAATAGGTTGGTGAAAAGTAACTGTGGTTTTTGAATTAAAAGTAATGGTAAAGTAATGCTATTTTAAGGTGCATACATGCTGTTTTGTGAAGTACAATATGTTTGTATAAAAACATGAATACATTGATAGTAATTTTTCAATGTGTATTTTCTCAATCAATAGGTAACAATGGGAACAATTACCTTATAACTATTCAAATGTTCAACTAGCCAGTATTTTAAAAATACCTACTACATCCTCAGCATAGTCACTGAAGAAAACTAGGGATCCAAGAAAAACATAAAATTTAAAAATAACTGGCAAGTATGCTATTTAGCATGAAAAATTAGAATGGACACTAAATGTTCTAGCAATTTAGAGGAGAGGTTTAGCGGGCAGAACCTGAGGTGTGGCTGGAGTAAGGGGAGTATTGCTGGGTATATGGTCACCAAGAAAGGAGAGGGCATTTAGAAAGTCACGGCCGGGCACGGTGGCTCAAGCCTGTAATCCCAGCACTTTGGGAGGCCGAGGCGGGTGGATCACGAGGTCAGGAGATCGAGACCATCCTGGCTAACATGGTGAAACCGTGTCTCTACTAAAAATACAAAAAATTAGCTGGGCGTGGTGGCGGGTACCTGTAGTCTCAGCTACTCTGGAGGCTGAGGTGGGAGAATGGCATGAACCCAGGAGGCGAAGCTTGCAGTGACCTGAGATCGTGCCACTGCACTCCAGCTTGGGCGACAGAGCGAGCCTGCATCTCAAAGAAAAAAAAAAAAAAAGGAAGTCACAACCACCAGAGTGAAGCTGCAAATGATGCTTTTTGTACCTATCGGGAAAATGGGGTTTGTGTAGTTTGAGTGCTGACCACTCAAAAGTGTGATCCATAGACTAGCAGCATAACCATCACCTGGGAGCTTATTAGAAATAGTACGGCAGGGCACAGTGGTTGGACGCCTGTAATACAAGCACTTTGGGAGGCCGAGGTGGGCGGATCACTTGAGGTCAGGAATTCAAGACCAACCTGGCCAACATCATGAAACCCCATCTCTACTAAAAATACAAAAATTAGCTGGGCTTGGTGGTGCATGCCTGTAATCCCAGCTACTCGGGAGGCTGAGGCAGGAGAATCATTTGAACCCAGGAGGGGAAGGTTGCAGTGAGCCGAGATCACGCCACTACACTTCAGCCAGGGCGACAGAGCAAGACTCCATCCACCACCCGCCTCCCCTCCAAAAGAAATGGTGAATCTCAGGTTTCACCGTAGTCCTACTGAATTAAAACCTCCACGTCAACAAGATTTCTCAGGTGGTTCTTATCTTTGTTAAAGCGTGAGAAACATTGGCAGGTGATTGGTTTCCCAAATACCGGTCACCATACCAGGACCATTTTGGCTAAATAAGAATGTCTGAAGAGCTTGTTAAAAAGAGGCTTCGGCACCCATCACTAGAGATTTTAATTCAATTGGTCTGAAATCCAGGAATAGTAACAAGATCCCCCAGGTGATTGTGATGCATCATTACCATATATGCCTAGGACCATCTATCCCAACTTTGACTTGATCTAGTTCTAGATAAATGATTTTCAGCCTTGACTGCACATAAGAATAGCTTGGAGAGCTTTTAAAAGCTATTGATAGCTGAGCCTCACTCTGAGAGATACTGATTTACTTGCCCTGTTGTAGAACTCAGGACTCTATATTAATTTTTCAAGCTTCCCAGGAGTCTTTAATGTGCAATCAAGGGTTGAGAAATACTAGTCCTTGTAAAACAGTTAAATGGTTTAGGTGGGAACAATTGAAGAAGACCTTGGAATTTTTTCTCTAAACAGATGTAGGGTAAACCCTCTGGGTACCTTTTGATTCAAGAAGCCGAAAAGAGACCCAGAGCCAGCAAACGAGACATGGGGTTGTACTGGGCACTTATATACAGGGGAGAGAGAGTCCAGTGGTGGTGGGCTGGACAAGATATCTGCATGGCCCTGTGGCAGTGAGCTGGCCAGGAAAACCATAACTGCTTGCAAACAGCATGTAGTTTATATAGCATTGTTACTTAATACCATCCCCTTAATGACCTGCACCTGGCAACCTTCATCATCCAAAACTCAGGACCTTGAGCCCATGTGTGGCCCATGTTCCCATGGGATGGTCCGAAGGCTCAGATGTTCCTAATAGATAAGGAATGACTCTCTGGGTTGGCCACTCCCGGATTCCCTAGCTCAGAGCACGCATGCAGGCGCATCTGCCATACTGGAGCATTCTCAGGCTATGCTTTTGTCATTGTTATCAGGGTGTCTACCATACACATGGTGTAAAAGGTGGATTCAAAGGAGAGAGTTAAGTGTGGGAACCGCCTATGATAAGGCAGTCAAGAGCTGTGGGAATAGAATGTAAAATACAAGGGATTATAAACAGAATTAATGATGAAAATATGCCTGATGGGGAGTTCATTAAAAATCTTTAACCAAGAAGATGGGAAAGAAATAACATGCTTAATAGAAGGGAAAAATAGTCTAGTGAAGGTTGCTGTTTTAAAGAAGGGTGAGATCTTAGCAAAAGGTAAAGTCAGAGAAGAGACTGAAAATAGAAAAAAACTTCCAGCTTTTTAATGCGTTGAAACTATAGCAAAAATTCAACAAATTCTCCTTGACTGGTGGGAATATTTGTTAAAAGATGGTTAAAAACCCACATCTGGGGACAGTCTTTGACTTTGTCAAAACATTAATTCCCATCACTTTAAGCAGCACCTGACCCTGCTGGGCCATTGTATTAAAAGTCACACCTAACAAATAAAATGGGCCAAAACAAGTAGTATCCTTTTGTTTTGAGGAGTGATCTTTGGAGTCCTGTAAATAGTGCATCTGGGGTGAGTGGAGGATTAGTACGCTTAATATTGCCTTATTGAAGGTTATTTGGTCTCTTCAGTCTAGAATGGCTTCTTTGGGGGAAACAGTTAATTCAAAGTTCAACCTTCCTGAAAGGCTGTTTCTCTCTTCTATCAAAGGCCTCTTGTAAGGAAAATGGATGTGCTGTGGTCAAGAATAGGCCGAGGTAAACATCCAGTCTAGCATGACTCAGTGGGTTTGGAGCACAGGTTCACAATCCTATGCATTATGTAACCTGTTGTTAAGCTCATACTTGGCTCTTAGCCACTATTGTCTGAAGGAGTGTAACTGCCCTGCTGCCGCCGGCTCGCACAGGGCAGGAGAGAGAGAGAGTAAAGCTGCTGACTCTGTAAGAGCCAGAGCTGACCACCCTACAGGCGAACAGTGGGGAGCCAGGAAACGGCGAGTGCTCCAGGGAGTGCAGCTGCAGGTGTTGGGGCAGTAGGAGCCACAGAGCTGGCTGCTGAGAAGGGCTGTGGCGGGAGCAGGCAGCAGAGACGAAGGCTTGTGCCCAGAGAGAGAATAAAGCCATATTTCACCTGACTACAGCCCCCTGAGTGTTCTTTCAACTACCTACCACTCATCCACCAACTCCCCCTTGAACCTCAGTTTGGGCTCGAACCCAACACCTCTCTGCCCTTTCCTGCATTTCTAGAGACTGTCTAGGCGTGTGCATGTGTGTGTGTGTGTGGGTTACAGTTACTCTTGGTGGCCTCTCTTTTTTTTTTTTTTTTTTTTTTTGCCTTTTTTTGGTCTCATGCTAGTCTCCACTGAAGTGAAGTTGATTGGTCTGGTCTAGACTTGCAGAGCTGTGCTTGTAACACTCACGTGTAAGTGCCCTCTGCTTAAGTCCATGGTTCCTACCATTTGTCATTGTTGTGATGTGCCTGCCCCTATCTCCTGTCTTGACTGCAGATCCCTAGTTGTCCAGCATCCTTCTCAGCACCCCTACAAATTCCACGTCTCTGAGCCCTTGGGAACCATAAGTTAGCTGTGGAGAATTGGTGCTATGTCAGGCTACTCTTAAATACTCACTGCTCTCTGATCATGGACTAATACCTCTCAGCCATGCTACACTGAGAAGGACAGAGCAGCCTCCCAGATAATTTTGGATTCCTTCTCCACCCATTTAGGAATCTCTTTTCCCTTTGACTGAAGTCCAGGGGTTGGGAGGGGTGTTGCATCTTCATCAGCACCATCCTGCTTCCCTCCTCCAATCCTTTCCCTTAGCAGACTCTAATATCTCTAATGGGACTTCCTTGATATTATATCTCAAGTATTCTTTACACTATGGCTTTTAATAAAGCCCTATTTTCAGATCCCAAGGGTTTACTTTTTATTTGAAAGAAACAGATTTTGGAAATTATAAAGTCTCTCATTTTGGGTTGCAGTTTTGGAAGTTGAGCATTGACATTGTTCTGTCTTTTCCACATATAGCAATTCTAATCCCTCTGTGACAGAATCTCTTCTGTTTGGACTGTTGACTCACAAAGCCTAAAATATTTACAATCTGGTCCTTTACAGTAAATGTTTGTTGACTTCAGATGTACAGAAAAGAATCTAAAAGTTTAGGACTCTAAAGACTTCGAACAGGAATGATTTGTTACATGGGTACTGTGTCCCTCTACCCTCAACTGCATTGTCTGAGGAGACCCAGAAGATACTCCCTTGAAAGCAGTGAGAAACACATTAGTGAGGGGAACACCCACATTCTGAGGAGCACTGTGGTGGCTTTCATATGTAAGCCATATATGACGGTGGCAAATACCACCATTGTGATGGGTTGCCTGATTCCAGTAGGGATGGTTCTGTCTTTTCCAGATATAGCAATTCTAATCCCTCTGTGACAGAATCTCTTCTGTTTGGACTGTTGACTTACAAAGTCTAAACTATTTACAATCTGGTCCTTTACAGAAAATGTTTGTTGACTTCAGATGTACAGAAAGGAATCT